GAGAGAGAGAGAGAGAGAGAGAGAGAGAGAGAGAGAGAGAGAGAGAGAGAGAGATTGTTCTCATAGGAGATCTGATATCTCATGAAGATCTTCACAAATCTGAAGATATTAAGAAAGAATCCCGTTATACTTCTGGTTAGTTACGGAAAAAACAGCTTGTAACTCTTTGACGTGACCGCCCTTAATATACTATATAGACAGTTTTTTTTAACATATTCGTGTCTACGCAAGCGATTACGCACGCGCGAACGTCGATGAAAATTCATGAAGACTTACTCCGAGAGGTCTGTCTAGTGCGATCTTACGATCCGTAACTACTACCTTCATAGACGCGCGTAAGTCTCTCTCTTTATACGCGCGTATAAATATTCGCAACTTGGTGTCGCGGAAGTCCTGAGGTATCCCGCGCGATATCGGCGAGCGTCTAATTCATGATAATTATTTATCTCGCATTCGCGACATCGCTCGTCATTGAATCCCTGAGTTCGAAGGCTGACGGAGCGGAGCGACGGCGATATCCCGGAAGGACGTTGCACCGTTTATCGGAGAGAAGGTGTATGCGGCGGGAGAGCGCGAAGGAGAAAGGAAGAGGGACCAGACGGACATGGTCTCCCTCTCAAGGAGAGCGTGCGTCAAGGATCCACCGTCTCCAGAGTACAAAGGCCCTACCGCAACAAGTACAATGAGAATCCTCGCTTGACGTCACGGATCGACAACGACCTCCTACCTATCGAGAGAGTTCGCGATCGATCGCCGTCGATATTCCTCGATAGTAGGCCTCGCGCGTTGACAAGGAGGTCGTGCCGAGAAGAGTGGTCGCGCGTCAGGATAAGTAGAAGCGGCTTGTCGGAGGGAATATCCCGGGGAAAGCCGAGGATGATTAGCGACGCTTGTCGATGCCTGTACTTACCACTACTGCTCGGAAGTTACCGGACGACTCTCGCAACCAACTGACGAGCGCGTCCTACGAATTCGACCGGACTGACGACGGCGACGGCGAGATTCTCGGGGATTGCGCGCGAAGGCCGGGAAGCCATCGGTGAGTGCGGACGTTGCGGCGCGCGCGCCTGCCGGATATCCAGAGCGCCCGTCCCGTCCACTACGGAGCAGAACGGAGCAGCGGTGCCGTGCCTACGCGCGCACGAGTCAGCGTAGGAGCTCCGCTCGGCACGGCGGTTCGATACCGACTGACCGACGGCCATATTGCCACCCCCCTGCTTTGGCTCGACCGGCGGCGGTGTCGGCGCCCTCGGCCCTCGCCCCCTCGTACGCCGTCGCCCCGGCCATTCTTGGCGAACCACCCCGCGCGCGAGCTTCCTCTCTTCTCGTCCTCCCCCGCCGCCCTTCTTCTGCCCCTGTATACTTTGCTTCTCTTCTGCCCCCGACTTCCCCGCTCTCTCCACCGCCGCCTTCACCTCCTCCTCCTCCTCCTCCTCTCCTCCGCCTCCGCCTCCTCCGCCGCCTCCTCTTCTACGTAACCGACGTCGGTGCACCCGCCGCCCACACCACTACCGATTACTATCGCTCGCGTCCGCGCGCGCGCGCGCGCCCGTTATCTTCGACGATTGACGTCACGCACGTACGTACGTGCCCGGCGTCCGTCTCGTCGTTAATTGTTTCTCGATGTAATTGCACGGCAAATAGCGCGCTGCGCGCCAGCACGTGACTTCGTCCCTCGGTCCGTGCGCTCGCGACTGTCGCTTGCGCTCCAAAACGAATTCTGCAACAGCATCGGAATACTTGCGCTCCGGGAGCGACGAGACGCTGGAACGTACCGTCGTGCAAACTATGACTCCCTGCTCCCTCCCTTCTCTTCCTCTCTTCGACTCTTGGACCCTGTCAGCCCTTTCGGAGCGCTTTGTATGAAGCATATTACATAATACGCACGTTAAGACTTGGTTATCGAGGCATTTGACGTCGAATGGTCTGATTGTCTTGGAACTGAAATGACGAGATTATATGCTCGTGCGATCGTAAACGTCGGTGTGTGACGTTCTCCATGCCTCTCGCCTCGTCGTTCCGCTCTCGAGCGCGATTCCTCTTCTCTTATTTATCTCGTCTCTTAAGTGATTCACACGTGATCGACGATTATTGCTGCTACTCAATGTATCGACAACCAAAATGAACAAGTTAAAAGTAGTCTCGTTAAAATGGGTGTTTCGGATCCTAGAACATTCTGTCTGTATGATTAGTATTGCAATATCATCATAGTTGACGAGTAATGAGAACGTAATGTACAGCTCACGGATATAACTCTAGTTTGTCGATTTTCTGTTATGAATACGAGTCTGACCAATTCACGGTTGTACTTAGCGTCAGCTTCATAGTAAATTGATTTCAAATAGAACGAAGGCAGAGTCGTCAAAATTAAAATTGAAATTATAAACCAAGTTAGTATAGCAGATAGATTCCCATAGATATGATTATATAACGCGATTGATGAAATCCATTGCCATTTCATCAAGTGAACACATACCCGACTACTCACAGCTGTATCCACTTTGAACAAAATTCTAAGTATACACAAGAAAATCTTACTTGAATACAGTATTTTTCTGTATGCAGAAAGATTGACTTCAAATCGTACGAGACGTTAAAAGCAATAAGTCGAAGATATCGGCACACTCAGTATATGTTATGATATATTGCATATGTCATGGAGCACGTCATGATATGTACGTCACACGAGAATCTTACTCACAAATTGAGAGTGTATTAAAATCGCACTGATGACGCACTGAGAGGCCGAGGGGGCATAGCATCACATAGTGATTTACGTGGGAGTTTCATTATTCCACCCATTTCTATCGAATAGGGTGAGGGTTGAGGGAAACGAGCTTGATTCGATCGGCATAATAATCTTCGTGCTTGTCGATGCTGTGGGTCGGGTATCGACTGAAATAGAAGCTATAATAATACGAATATAAGTGTCACTCATCGAAGCATAACGATGCGCGCATGTTGCAATGCGCGTTGCCGCACATCGTCCTCGTTGATTTTCCTCTCACACTTTCATAACGTCGATTTCGCCGATTCCGACGTAACGTACGAAAAGAACAGGCGAGCCAAGTAACATTGGCGTAATCTGATTTCTTTTCGATTTTCGAGTGGAATCGGCAGCGACGACAGCGGCAACCGGTTTCGCACAGGGATCACGTTTCGCGAGGAAAATTGAATATTCGTACGATTAAAATGCGGATGTGATTACGGTAGTTCAATTTTATCGTCGTATATGAATATTTATCTCGGATAAGGGTGGGTGAGAAGCGGGGACGTCGGTGTGGCGGGCGTGTAATTATTTTAAGTTTAACGCGCGAAACGCGTAACTTGTTTGTCGGTAGTATCGAACACGCTGGAGCAAAACACACCTGCCATGTAACCCAGGTAACGAATTGCAGAAGCCCGCGAAGGTTAAATAGCGAATTGTGTAGGTAGCTAAAAGGTCGTAGCAAACGATCGAATAGCGAGGACAGAACTACGTGCGCGCGGATATTTTTCGGGGTCTTTTTGTTTTTCCGTAGATCGTTGGATCACTTCAGCAAAAAAAGTAAATTCATCCTCGTCGCGACTTGAACGACGGTCTTATTTTTTAGTTTGGCTTGACGTCAATAGATTTTTACTGGTGATGCTTCACGTCAGTGCAGATCGCGTGGTCAGTGCGGCGTGCAGAACGAATCGGCCATATTGAATATGTATAGTGACCGACATGGTTGATTATTTCTTAATGAACGTGGACACCAGCGTGCGTTACATCGTCCCGCGAGAATGATAATTAACGTGCTTGGGACAAAAGATTGCGTGAGCAATTGTTCGCATTCGCTGGCACGCTATCTCCCTCTGTCTTTCTTGTGTTAAGATGTGACTTGGCCGGACCTATTACGGAAAATCGACACACCCGAATTCGCGCGATCTACCAATAAATGAATAACATATAAATGAAACGACAAAGGGGTATTTTTGTATTTATATATCGTCAATATTAAATTTAATGATGAAATATATTTTTGAAGAGAAGTGATTTATTACGAGCATTATGACTGGTACGCTTGTGCGAGTTCTCGCACCACCGAACGATATTTCTCCGTGAAATCAGACAGCTCCGAATAATCCGCATAAATCTCGAGAACACTTGCGTTAATAAATAACATTACTCAAGCGCATCCAATTAACGCGCCAGTATCAACACTCGAGATCGTTTCCGCGCAGCGTTTACGGCTAAGCGTTTTCGTGATATGCGGTTTTAACGAAGCGAGGAGTTGTTTCGCCTTCTATTTCGTCGAACTCGCAGGTGTTCTCTGTTACAGGCCGAATGCAACGCGATCGTGCGGAAGAGTCGTTCTGCTGTTTTAACGGTGAATCGTTTAAATAATAGCGATCGTGTGGAGGCGGAACGCGGCGGCGATTTGCGCGCGTGCAGGCTTTGTCCGATTTGAGTATTGTCGTGTAATAGTCCCGTCGATTCTGAGAAATATCGGATATTTTTTTAAAAACCCCGAATGGCCACGTTATTTAGGCAAGATCATGTAAAGTTTTAAGGATCCTCGATGCATGTGTCAGCTATCGCGGATTGTGTGACGTCAAAAGCGAGGAATTTGCGAGGAAACACGCGAATAGTTTCCTAGCAGTTTGCGCACGCTCAGATTATTAAAGTAGTCGCGTAAGCGAATTTCGTTCAGAGAATTGTTTCTAAAAAAAAAGAAGAAATGAAATAATCGGGCGTTAATACTTAAAACTGACGCATATCGTACGTTGCTCTTTAGTTCCTCTTCTATCGAGTCAGCTCAATAAAACGGTTCTGAGAAAGTTGAAGATAATTGATGACAATCACATCTTGTCGCGGATTGAATCGATCTGTCAGTTTCTTTCTTCTTCCTCCACTTTTTTTCGCTCTTTTTTTTTTTTAGAAAATTGACGTCAGACGCATGTTTTCGTGTCGAGGAAACTTCTAATACGTCGTCGACAGTGTAAATTGTTCCATTCGTGTCATAGCATATTTTTACGTTCACCGTAAACGAGAATCGTCCCGTCGTCGTTTTTACAAACAACAACGCAATAAAGCGCTATTTCGGAAGCGACATTTCTCCCGGCTGAGTTTCAAAGAGAAACCCGCCATTCGAGGAGTTCGTTCCTAGCTGAATTTATTTCGTCGCGCTCCAATTTGCCTTTCTCTGTTTTGCAAAACAAAATTGTATTCCTGTAGATATATTTTTCGGAGTTTTGAAAATTCTATTTACTTGCAAATGCACCGCATAATTTTCGGGGACCCTTGTATGGAAGGTCGATTCATCTTTTTTTAAGAGGGAGCTATATAAGCGATATTTCCATATATCTCCCAAGGCTCCTTCTATTGGCGGGAATTTCTATAGAACACAATTTCTCAATATAAAGTTTCCTATGAAACAGAAGAAGATTTGCTTGCGGGTATTTCGAAAATATATAATTACTTATTACAGGATCGTTTTTTATATTTAAACGTATTCATATATATATATTGTCGTATTTTGAAAATCTTTCGTGAAACAAAGGATCTAATAATAAACGACCATGAAAGCTTTCATTTACTTCGCAGAATTGTTCCTTTTATGACACGTGTCGCTTCATTTGGGTGCTCCAAGAATATGCAAAAATATTCACCGCATCTGGCATGCATATGGAAATTCATTCCACGTGCTCATTTACTCCACGTGCCCGTATTCTGTCGCGTGCACGCACTTTCTTGATCACACTCAAGTCGGTTCTCCCATCTTGAACGAACATCTTTCGGTATCTCCACGGTCGGATGAATCGATAGTATACCAAGGCAAGGTTGGGAAAGAGAGAGTGGCTTCCTTGTAGGTAACTGTCGTCATAAAGGAAGGACGTATGTAACGAGCACAGTCCAGCTATGGCAATGAGATGTGTGTCTGTCGACATATGAACGAGAACTTCTCTTCCTTCGCTTCTCTTCTCATTCGTTCTCTCTCTTGGCGACAGAAAATTATATTAACTAATGTAGCGCGTCACGACTTTCTCGTTTTTTGATGCAAATGAAATTTCAAATAGGAAAAGTCGTGTCTCTTTTTTTCTGTGTTATGAAAGATCGCCGTTTGCGAGCTGCAATGCTTGCGACAGTAGGGGTTCTTTAGACACACCGGACGACCAATCTCACCGACAATTTTCCAGCTCCATCATTTCGTCTTTCTCTTCGTCAAGTCCTTCGCCGCCCACGCACTTTG